GATTCCATTCCACTTCTCGTTCCATTCCTCTTCTCGTTCCATTCCACTTCTCGTTCCATTCCACTTCTCGTTTCATTCCACTTCTCGTTCCATTCCAAAAACTATCAAAGAGAAAACACATACCTTGCATTACACATCAATGATAAATGATATAACATGGCTTGAATGATGCAAGTATTGTAAATACATTTTACAATACCTGAAAAGAAATTTTGCTACAATCGGAAAGCATTCTTCTTTTCCCTTGCTTTCATGGTGTTTCTCTTTTTGATCATCCACTTCTATTTCGAGATTCCTCTCATTACATCTGATTCCATTCCAGTTCTCGTTCCATTCCAAACCCTATTAAAGAGAAAACACATACCTTGCATTACACATCAATGTTAAATGATGTAACAAGGCTTGAATGATGCAAGTATTGTAAATAAATTTTACAATACCTGAAAAGAAATTTTACAGCAATCGGAAAGCTTTCTTCTTTTCCCTTGCTTTCATGGTGTTTCTGTTTTCTTTCATCCACTTTTATTTCGAGATTCCTCTCATTACATCTGAGTCCATTCCAGTTCTCGTTCCATTCCAAACCCTATCAAAGAGAAAACACATACCTTGCATTACACATCAATAATAAATGATATAACATGACTTGAATGATGCAAGTTTTGCATATACATTTTACAATACTTGAAAAGAAATTTTGCTGCAATCTGAAAACATTCTTCTTTTTCCTTCCTTTCAGGGTGTTTCTCTTTTCTTTCATCCTCTTCTATTTCGAGATTCCATTCATAACATCTGATTCCATTCCACTTCTCGTTCCATTCCAAACCCTATCAAAGAGAAACCACATACCTTGCATTACACATCAATGTTAAATGATAAACATGGCTTGAATGATGCAAGTATTGTAAATACATTTTACAATACCTGAAATAAAATTTTACAGCAATCGGAAAACTTTCTTCTTCTCCCTTCCTTTCATGGTGTTTCTCTTTTCTTTCATCCACTTCTATTTCGAGATTCCTCTCATTACATCTGATTCCATTCCACTTCTCGTTCCATTCCGAACCCTATCAAAGAGAAAACACATACCTTGCATTACACATCAATGTTAAATGATATAACATGGCTTGAATGATGCAAGTATTGTAAATACATTTTTCAATACCTGAAAAGAAATTTTACAGCAATCGGAAAACCTTCTTTTCCCTCCTTCCTTTCATGGTGTTTCTCTTTTCTTTCATCCACTTCTATTTCGAGATTCTGCGCATTACATCTGATTCCATTCCACTTCTCGTTCCAGTCCAATACCTATCAAAGAGAAAACGCATACCTTGCATTACACATCAAAGTTAAATGATATAACATGGCTTGAATGATGCAAGTATTGTAAATACATTTTACAATACCTGAATAGAAATTTTACAGCAGTAGGAAAACTTTCTTCTTTTCCCTTCCTTTCATGGTGTTTCTCTTTTCTTTCATCCACTTCTATTTCGAGATTCCTCTCATTACATCTGATTCCATTCCACTTCTCGTTCCATTCCGAACCCTATCAAAGAGAAAACACATACCTTGCATTACACATCAAAGTTAAATGATATAACATGGCTTGAATGATGCAAGTATTGTAAATACATTTTACAATACCTGAAAAGAAATTTTAAAGCAATCGGAAAACTTTCTTCTTTTCCCTTCCTTTCATGGTGTTTTTCTTTTCTTTCTTCCACTTCTATTTCGAGATTTCTTTCATTACATCTGATTCCATTCCACTTCTCGTTCCATTCCAAACCCTATCAAAGAGAAAACACATACCTTGCATTACACATCAAAGTTAAATGATATAACATGGCTTGAATGATGCAAGTATTGTAAATACATTTTTAATACCTGAAATAAAAGTTTTCTGCAATCGGAAAACAGTCTTCTTTTCCCTTCCTTTCATGGTGTTTCTCTTTTCTTTCATCCACTTCTATTTCGAGATTCCTTTCATTACATCTGATTCCATTCCACTTCTCGTTCCATTCCAAACCCTATCAAACAGAAAACACATACCTTGCATTACTCATCAAAGTTAAATGATATAACATGGCTTGAGTGATGCAAGTATTGTAAATACATTTTACAATACCAGAAAAGAAATTTTACAGCAATCGGAAAACTTTCTTCTTTTCCCTTGCTTCCATGGTGTTACTCTTTTCTTTCATGCACTTCTATTTCGAGATTCCTCTCATTACATCTGATTCCATTCCACTTCTCGTTCCATTCCAAACCCTATCAAAGAGATAACACATACCTTGCATTACACATCAATGTTACTTCCTTTCATGGTGTTTCTCTTTCCTTTTATCCACTTCCATTAAGGAATTCCTCTCATTACATCTGGTTCCATTCCACTTCTCGTTTCATTCCGAACCCTATCAAAGGGAAAACACATACCTTGCATTACACATCAAAGTTAAATGATATAACAAGGCTTGAATGATGCAGGTATTGTAAATACATTTTACAATACCTGAAAAGAAATTTTGCTGCAATCGGAAAAAATTCTTCTTTTCCCTTCCTTTCATGGTGTTTCTCTTTTCTTTCATCCACTTCTATTTAGTGATTCCTTTCATTTCATCTGATTCCATTCCACTTCTCGTTCCATTCCAAACCCTATCAAAGAGAAAACACATACCTTGCATTACACATCAATGTTAAATGATTAAACATGGCTTGAATGACGCAAGTATTGTAAATACATTTTACAATACCTGAAAAGAAATTTTGCTGCAATCGGAAAACATTCTTCTTTTCCCTTCCTTTCATGGTGTTTCTCTTTTCTTTCATCCACTTCTATTTAGAGATTCCTTTCATTACATCTGATTCCATTCAACTTCTTGTTCCATTCTAAACCTTATGAAAGAGAAAACACATACCTTGCATTACACTTCAATGTTAAATGATATAGCATGGCTTGAATGATGCAAGTATTGTAAATACATTTTACAATACCTGAAAAGAAATTTTTTTGCAATCGGAAAATATTCTACTTTTCCCTTCCTTTCATGGTGTTTCTCTTTTCTTTCATCCACTTCTATTTCGAGATTCCTTTCATTACATCTGATTCCCTTCCACTTCTCGTTCCATTCCAAACCCTATCAAAGAGAAAACACATACCTTGCATTACACATCAATTTTAAATGATATAACATGGCTTGAATGATGCAAGTATTTTAAATACATTTTACAATACCTGAAAAGAAATTTTGCTGCAATCGGAAAAGATTCTTCTTTTCCCTTCCCTTCATGGCGTTTCTCTTTTCTTTCATCCACTTCTATTTCGAGATTCCTTTTATTACATCTGATTCCATTCAACTTCTTGTTCCATTCTAAATCCTATCAAAGAGAAAACACATACCTTGCATTACACATCAATGTTAAATGATATAGCATGGCTTGAATGATGCAAGTATTGTAAATACATTTTACAATAACTGAAAGGAAATTTTACTGCAATCGGAAACATTCTTCTTTTCCCTTCCTTTCATGGTGTTTTTCTTTTCTTTCATCCACTTCTATATCAAGATTCCTTTCATTACATCTGATTCCATTCTACTTCTCGTTCCATTCCAAACCCTATCAAAGAGAAAACACATACCTTGCATTACACATCAATGTTAAATGATATAACATGGCTTGAATGATGCAAGTATTGTGAATACATTTTACAATACCTGAAATGAAATTTTGCTGCAATCGGAAAACATTCTTCTTTTCCCTTCCTTTCATTGTGTTTCTCTTTTCTTTCATCCACTTCTATTTCGAGATTNTTACCTGAAAAGAAATATCGCTGCAATCTGAAATATTTTTCTTATTCCTTCCTTACATGGTGGTTCTCTTATGTTGCATCCTCTTTTATTTCGAGTTTCCCTTCATTACATTCTACTTCTCGCTGTATTCCAATCCCTATCAGAGAGAAAACACATGCCTTGCATTACACATCTATGTTAAATGTTATAACATAGATTATGTGATGCAAGTAATATAAATAAATTTTCGATTACCTGAAAAGAAATATCGCTGCAATCTGAAATATTCTTCTTATTCCTTCCTTTCATGGTGGTTCTCTTATGTTGCATCCTCTTTTTTTCGAGTTTCCCCTCATTACATTCTACTTCTCGCTCCATTCCAATCCCTATCAGAGAGAAAACACATGCCTTGCATTACACATCAATGTTAAATGATATAACATAGATTGTGTGATGCAAGTAATATAAATAAATTTTCGATTACCTGAAAAGAAATATCGCTGCAATCTGAAATATTCTTATTCCTTCCTTACATGGTGGTCCTCTTATGTTGCATCCTCTTATGTTGCATCCTCTTTTATTTCGAGTTTCTATTCATTACATTCTACTTCTCGCTCCATTCCAATCCCTATCAGAGAGAAAACACATGCCTTGCATTACACATCAATGTTAAATGTTATAACATAGATTGTGTTATGCAAGTAAAATAAATAAATTTTCGATTACCTGAAAAGAAATATCCCTGCAATCTGAAATATTCTTCTTATTCCTTCCTTACATGGTGGTTCTCTTATGTTGCATCCTCATTTATTTCGAGTTTCCCTTTCTTACATTCTACTTATCGCTCCATTCCAATCCCTATCAGAGAGAAAACACATGCCTTGCATTACACATTAATGTTAAATGATATAACACAGATTGTGTGATGCAAGTAATATAAATAAATTTTCGATTACCTGAAAAGAAATATCCCTGCAATCTGATATATTCTTCTTATTCCTTCCTTACATGGTGATTCTCTTATGTTGCATCCTCGTTTATTTCGAGTTTCCCCTCATTACATTCTACTTCTCGTTCCATTCCAATCCCTGTCAGAAAGAAAACACAAACAAAACTCTACCTATAGCAATACTTTGCATGCTTTCACGTCCCTCAGTGGACTGATCGTTAAGACATGGTTCCCAGCAGATCACCGAAGTCAAGCATCACTGGCTGCGGTCAGTGTGTGGTAGGATGACCACTTGGATCAGTCTGCGTAGGGACCGAGGGTGTGCGGTATTGGTCCTCGTTAAACTGCTCTACCGTAAAGTGCTCGACTTCGCGTACAGGTTGTCAGGCTGCGAAAGTGGGTGTGCCATCCCCTCTACAGAGGATCAAAATTGTGATGGCATGTTTTCGGATCATCCTCAGGGATGTTTCCCAGACCGTCGCCAATAGCCCATTTTGCAGCTCTAGTGCGATGTAAATGAACTACAACTATTTTACTTTGTGCTTTTTTCTGTGGGGATTGAGATCGTTATCTTGGCGATTTGTATTTTGGTTGTGTTTATCAGCAATATTGAAAAAGCAAATATATTTGAATAGTATTTTATTGGAAAATATAACAGTGAAATATTTTATCGTAGAGCACAAGCAGCACCTGGTGCACCTGGACCGATCTACGAACACCATGGTGCCAGTGGGCATAGGGTTGGGGATCCCTGCCTTAGAGTATTACGTGCTTAGTTAAATTTATTTTTAATTTCACTAGGTTTTTTTGAAAAAATAATCTAATAATGATTTTAATTTTGAAAACAAGATCTCCCGGTTAACCGTTACTAAAAGTACTACCAATTGCATAATCTTTTAATCTCAGTTTTTCTTCTCCTGTTGAAAGATTAACATTATCGTAGACTACGGAAATTTTACCAGAATTTTTTTTTTCTGTGTAGTTACCAATTAAATTTTTTTCCGAGTAAAGAAAATAAATTTTGACACTACTTTTGAGGTGAAAATCTGAAATTACACATTATCAGAAACATTTAAGATTTCCGAAAGCCTTCATAATATTTTCTTATCAACTTGTCTCAGTTTCCCCCCGTAATCAAACAAGCTTGCAATGCACTTAATAATTATGTTATTGGACTTCAGTGGCATTTTATAGAATATCTTTTACATTTTATTTTTTGCCAAACTGAGAAGTGGAAAATAAAAGTTTAGTGCCATTTTCATAAATTGTAAGACTATTTCGTTCATTACACCGGGGAATTTGTATCTTATCATTACTGCCTGTGCTGAACGCATTTTTTGAATGAATTTAGTCAGTCCTGATCAATTTAATCTTAAGTTTTTCAAGTTTAACAAAACAGATATGCAATTCTTAAAAAGCAATTTTTCTTTTTTCCTTTTGAACAAAGAAACGAAAAAACGAGAATGACCAAAGAAAATTCTTATTAGCCCGTATTGTTGTATTTTTTTTCTATTTTTAAGTCTTCATAATGAAAGGTTTAAAACAAAGGGAAGTAAAATGAGGCAATATTTTTTTTTTCATTTTATTTTATAAACTGTCGTTGAACAGCCTTTCCAATTTTCAGTTCATGACTGCCAATGTTCAACTCCTTGTAACTTTGAATCCAATTCAGAAGACAAGGGAACATCTGGATAAAGTATTGCGAGAAATTAATTTTAAGGCAGTATATTTTATTTTATATTTTAAAACGATCGTTTAAACGCCGACGCAATTTTCAGGTTTATGGATACTAATGTTCAACTCCGTAACCTTGCAATTTTGAACCCAATCCAAGAAACAGGGGAACTGCTGGATAAAGTATTGGGAGAAATTTTGCCTTCGTAGAGGACTTTTTTTATCGAACTAACCCGCATTGGCGTTACATGGAGAGGAAGACCACGAGAACCTACCGCTGCTAGTCTAACTGCAAAGGAACTCTAATCCATGATCCGTCTACCACTGATGATATTTCAGGGCAGGACTGTGGTCGGTGCAAGCCGGATGCGGAATTCGTATTGATAATCCATCACAGGGATTCCTTATTTTAATCTAAAGTTCTCCAAGTTAAACAACACAAGTATGAAATTCTTTTATAGCAAAATTTTTATAAATTTGAAAAGAAAAATTTCGCAAATCGTGGCTTTGAAGCTAAACCGTCATAACTCAAAAAATCAAAAAATGAGATATTTGGGTCATTTTGTGTAAAAAAAAAATCACCCTTTTAGAGAAACAACGTGTTATCTTCATAGTGCCATAAAATTTAGAGAGCAGATAAATCGTTATCGCATTGGCGCGATTCGCCATTTTGGTTTTAGGAAATAGTGTAGCAGTGTGCCAGTTGCAGCAAAACCTTGAAGAAGCTTTGAAACTTAACCGTGATAACTCAAAAAAGCAAGTTTTTCCTACACTGTTGTATGTCAAAATTTTAAAGGTAATATGTAATATTCGGGAGGATATTTTGAAGAACATCGTTGTATTTTGAAATAGCTCTCCACTTTTAATAAAAGGTTTAGAAAAAAGTGTTGCAACTCAAAGTACCTTAACTTACTTCAAAATTACCACAAAATTAGAAATGCTGCAGGAATCAGGCCTGGTTCATTGAAAATGTAAAGAAACAGGGGTTTTTTGATGTAAACTATTTTGATTTAGTCGCTATAGCTTTGAGTCAACCTGCGATGGAAGTTCCTGAAAAGTTAGAAATCGCTCTCTTGAGAAACTTGCTTTTTTGAGTTACCATAGTTTAGTTTAAAAGCGACGAAATATCCAAAGAAAATCCTATTAGTTTGTATTGTTTTATTTTATTCCTATTTTGGCGACTTGAGATTGAAAGATTTTTAAAAAAAAATGGAAGTAAAATGAGACAGTTTAACGAAAAATGTGATGTTGTGGTTTTTTCAATAACTTACCACATCTGACCAACATCTGAGATGTCGTTTATTTATTTTGTGCTTTTGTATTGAATCACTTTATAAGGATGACCTAAATTCAAACATGAGAATGGGAAGCGTCAGCAGAAACAAATCCAAATGGTAACATAGCTTCGGAAGTTGTAGCAGAATGTAAATATTAGCATTAAGTCGATTACATATTAAGTAAATTAAAATAAATGTAAGCACTAGTGGAAAGTACTAACGCAAAATAAAGCGGTAAAAGAGTGTGCTGTATAAAGACGATTCTCGTTGTAAGTACGAAACAGCTAATTAGATTTTATAAAATGGCTGTGAAATAACTGTTGAAATGAGAAAAAAAAAATTTTAATTTGAAAAGCAGTAAACTGATACGAAAGAAATGTTCAACCTAGGTTAGAAAATAGAGAAATGGCAATTGAAAAATAATGTATGTTAGGGATTATAAAATCAATAATCTACGGCTGGCACTAATGCAGATTGGTACTAAATTTATAAACTGAATCCCAGGAACTGTTCACCTTAGGTAAGAAAATAGTTAAAAGTCAATTGAAAAATGTTTATCAGGGGATCATAAAATCAGTAACTACTGGTACTAATGAAAATAATCCTTTGAGAAACATTAGTGAAAGCGAAATTGTCGACAATTTTATCAATCTTCTTCTAATTATGTTCGTCTCAAAAAGTTAATTCCGGTCATTAATCTGTCACATTTTTCGAGTTTGCAATCGGAAAACCACATATTAAATTGCAGATGTTACATTTGAAGCGATGTGTCTAAAATACGCTAATTTATGAACTCCGGAAATATAATTATCTATCTATATATAATTGTTCCAAATAAACAGGCAATTTTATTTTTTGACATTCAAAATATGTGTCTACTTTCATCCTTAAAATATGAATTTGACTAAAATATGACTTTGATAAAAACATTTTAGAGTAATACTTTTGCCTTCCGTTAAATTTTCTACAGTAGAAGAATTTTATCGAAAAAATAAAGAATTATGATAGAAGAAATAAAATTTGGTCACCTTAAGCAGAAATAGTTGTCTACAATTTATAGTGACACTTATTAACTAAAACCATAAGATGCTTGCAAATTAAACAAAAAGGTAAAAAAATCATTATATTTCTTTATGATTGCTACTTCCGACGTTTAGTTTATGTTTATAGCTTCCCATATATTAATTATAATTATTAAACTATTGTATTTTAGAAAAAACCAAACAAACGCATAACAAGTTTAATTTGAAAATTAGTTATATGCATTGTAAAGAAAGAATATTATTTAATTTTGAATATCATTAAACCGTTAACTGACTTTGTTTTGTTTTTCTTTTATATTTTAAGAAATAAATATTTAATAAAACACTTTGGCTTACAATTTATAGTTACCTTTCTTCATCCTCGATTAGCAAATTCTTTTATTTCATCCGTCTTTAACAAATTTCTCTAAACTTCAAAGAATAACCTTCACACACGATATCCAATCTCAAAATGAACTCAATAATGACTTTTTTTAAAAATAATTTTGCAACAATGAATATTTTTATAGCTAATAATATTTCTCACTTTTGACTGTAATTGTTGAACTGCGTCTTCTAGCTTTGTTGCAACAATGGTGTACACTCAAAAAAAAAATGAAAAGCTAACTCAATATCCATTGTTAGATAGGAAATTTAATTTTTCTGATACACATCACAATTTACAAAGCTATTTAAGTCGACACAATTAGTACTTTATTAAAGTTTTTCGCAAAATCCATCCCAAACAGATAATTCTAAAATCACTGTAAAAATGTATACAAAAATTCTAAATTAACGCAGCTAATGCTGTGTAAAATTTGAAATAAGACAATCGTTTTATTTTATTTCCTAATGGTTAATTGGAGTTATTTTTTGTTTTACTTTAGGTATGTTTTTTAAAA